TTCAATTTTTTTGAGAGTAAAATAGACTAGAGTAAAATAGACTGTATTTGGAATGTTGTTTAACGGTATTTTTTTTACTCTAAACTAGATTCTAGGATAATACAGAATATATTTAATTACTTATGTTAAGAGAATATATGTATTTATTATATTGAATCAAAGAATAAAAATGAATATTGGATATTCAAATTCTTTCTTAGAATATACAAAGAAAATACAAAGATGCAACTTNAATTCTTTCTTAGAATATACAAAGAAAATACAAAGATGCAACTTTTTTCAATTCTTACTTTACTTACATATGTAATTAGTAGCTGAATTCCCATTTTGTATACTTTATTTCCTAGATTATTCCGTTTATTGAAAACTTGTGCGTGCCTCTGCAGGCAAAGGAACAAAAACTGCATACTTGCTAAATCTATCTACTATGACCATGACTTGACTTTTGCCATGCCTACTCTTGATCCGAGTATCCATAAAGTCAATGGACACAGAATCTCCGGGTCTATTAGGAATAGGCAAGGGTCTGGAAAGACCGAGAGGGGCGCGCGTAGTAGTCTTGTTTCGTTGACAGACTTCGCAACTGCGGACATACTCTATGCAGTCGGCCTTCATACCAGGCCAGATGTACGCGCGCATGAGTTTTGGCTAGTGTCTTTTGCCAACCAAAGTGTCCCTCTGTATCATGGCATTCCCCTAAGATCAAACTCCGGATCTCTTCGCTGTTGGGAACGCACAGGTGGTCAACTACATTAGTCTTCTCGAATAATAAGCCATCAGTAGTGCGGTAGTTTGGCTCAGACTCTGGGGCCTCCCTAACTCTCTTGAGGAGATCACTATAGATAGGGTCCTATGCATATGCCTCTCTAACTTTCTGCTGCAGGTCTCTCCCTATATCTAGATAGTGAACTATTGCCCCAAAGTAATCAGCTCTTCTACTCAGAGCGTCCGCTACTACATTGTACTTCCCTTTAACTGGCTTCGGTTCAAAGTCATACTGATCTAACTCTGCGGCCCACCTAGTAAGCTTAGGTGTCATTTTGGCCTGAGTCTTCAGCCACCTTAGAGTCTCGTGGTCTGAATAGATTTTGAAGTGCCTCCCAAGCAAGTAATGCTTCCAGTGATCTAGTGCTTGCCTGAGAGCGTAGAGTTCCCTTTCATAAGTGGATGTCGCCACCTTCTCTGAAGGCATCCTGGCCGACATGAACTCTACGAGCCTATATCCATTGCCATAATCTTGCTGTAAAACAGCGCCTATGCCATACTGATTGGCGTCAGTGGTAAAAACAAAGGGAAGGGACGGATCGGTTGCCTTAAGGACTGGATATTCAATCAGGGCCCGCTTCAATCTCTTCAGGGCCGCTGTGCAGTCCTTGTCCCACTTCCAAATTGCCTCTTTCTTTAGCAACCTGCGAAGGGGTACAGCGATGGTGGAGAAGTTCCTGACGAACTTCCTATAGTAATTAGCTAGGCCTAAGAACGACCGCAACTCTGTCAGTGTGCGGGGCATTGGCCAATCTCTAATCGCGGCGATTTTGTTATCTTCAGGTCTAACGCCGTCTTCGTTTAAGACGTGGCCCAGGTACAAAACCTGTGGCCCACTTGCACTTCTTTGTGTTGATCTTGAAGTTAGCCTCTCTAAGTCTCTGCAAGACCTGCCTCAGATGGCCCTCATGCTCCTAGAGGGTCTTACCGAACACTAGAATATCATCTAGATATACTACAACAAATCTATCTAACCACGGCCTAACCAAATCCTTTATGCAGCGCTGGAAAGTCGTTGGCGCATTGGTTAGTCCAAAGGGCATAACAATAAACTTATAGTTCCCATATCTAGTCCGGAATGCTGTCTTGTACTGATCATCAGGATGAACCTCTATCTGATGATAGTCGGACTTTAAATCTATCTTCGAAAAATACTTCCAGCCGTGCACCCGGTCTAACAGATCGTCTATACGGGGCAGTGGTTCTGCATTCTTCACTGTGATAGCATTAAGACCCCTATAGTCTATAAACATTCTAAGCTCTCCCTCTTTCTTGGGGACAAAGAGAACAGATGCTCCAAATAGGGACGAACTGGGCCTAATCCAACCCTTCTCAAGGAGCTCGTCTAATTGCTTACGTAGCTCCTCTAACTTCCTTGGGGATATTCTATAAATCGCTCCCTTAGGAGTCCTACTGCCAGACTCTATTTCTATGCGATGCTGGATCGGCCGCGGCACTACTCCTGTAGGCGGCTTAACTAGGTCTATATATTCTTCCAGCAGCTTGGCAATAGTAGGGTCTATGGGTGTCTCCTCCTTGGGCTCAGTGACTGGCCTTACGTAGGCCACAAAAACCTGCTCTTCTAAATGCTCCTTCTTTACTAATTGCGCGAACGCGGGAGCGTTGAGGCAGCAATGTGCCAGGGTGTTGCCTACTCCAGACACATGGAACAGGCGAGCAGTCTTAACTTCACCCGTGGGGTACACTCGTGCTCTCTCAAATGGAGTGTGGCCCCTGCTGCCTCTCCCCAGTCCATTCCTAGGACTATATCAAAAGGAAGACTGTCTTCTACGAGGAGAGTCAGGGAATGGAGAACTTTCTCCACCTTCCCATCTTTCTCTAGGCGAAAGTACGCCTGGACTCCCTCGACGTAATCCTCGACTCGCATAGTGCAATTGTCTGCGAGGATATTGACTATAGGGTCTGCTAACTTTTGGACTTTCAAGTTTAGCTTTAACTTCTGCAGCGCTTTCCTACTGATATAGTTGCGGGTGGCCCCACTGTCTATAAGGGCCTCTACTCTACCTCTAAAAATCTCTACGTCTACTAATACTAGCTATCCTGTGGCATCCTTTTTCATCTTGGCCCAGGCAGGCATTCTCTCCTTCAACTCTTCAGCCACGTCTGTGAGGGAAGTACCAGGGTTGTCACGGCCCGGCCCCGGGGGTCCGGGGTAGCCCCGAGGGTCCGGTGTGGTGGTCCCTTGACCCCGGGCCGGGAGGGGTAAAAAAAAAAAAAAAAAAAAAAATCCAAAAAAAATCCAAAAAAATATTTAAAAAATCTGGTGGGGTGCGCACCGCTGCCAGGCACCCCCTGGCGCTTTCTGCTATTTTGCAGAAAAGTGCCCCCCTGGGCCACCCCACCGGGGTCCCCCCACCCCGCTGGCGGGGTCATTCGGCGGTGGTCGGGGTTGAGTCCGGTGGGCCGGGGCCGGGGATGCCCTGGCGCGGGGCGCAGGGGTCGGGGTCGGGGCCGGGGTTCACGTGGGCCGGGGTCGCGGTGGTCGGGGCCGGGGTGCGGGTGA